ACCTCAGCAATTTTTCAACGTTAAGTCTTGAAAATCCTGAAAAATTGTGGATATGTTCAACGTATCACAGTGCATCAACAATATATTCAAGAAATTTTAGCTCTGATGGACCTTTAATGTGATGAGAGAAAAAAAAAAAACTGCTTACTGTAAAAGTAATTATATAGCAATAACTTAATATATTACTGCCTGCAGATGAACTTCTTAAATGCAACTATACCTGTGATTTGTATGACAGCACAAATATTTAAGAAAATAAAAATATAGATCCATGAGGTAAGATAGTCATTCTGTTAGTCTGAAAAATTCCTTCAGAAGTTTCAACAGGAATACTGTTTGCTTAAACCTGCCAAAATGAGCGTTTTCATCCCCATGGATCTTTGCCTACTGTGTTCCTGAATAACTCCATGAAAACAAAATTCTCAAAAAGCAGAAAGCATGGAAGAAAAAACGTTATTTTAATTACCACTCAATAGAAATTAATGTTCAATTTTGTTGAGTTTTTCTTCATTCTCACAATACTCTTGTGGCAACTACTGTTCTGCCTTATGTACCAAAGGTTTTCTTTTCTTTGTGTGTATACATACTATTTTCAGTCTAACCACAGAGACACCACCAACGAAATAGCGGGTTTCAGGAATTTTATAGAACAAAACACTGAAACTATCCAAATCAGAATAATCTCAATATAGGTATGCATTTCCACACAAAATCTGTGGTATGTTTATCATTTTATTCACACATTCAGCATGGTAAACCATACACAGTTGTCCCTTCTTGTATGTCACAGAACAAAATTGCGTATACTGAGGATGCACTGAGATTCTGGTCCAGTATCACCTTTTCCACCTTTTCCCAAAAGGCATTTGCACTGTCATGTATAAAATCTCTGTTGTGACCATTTACACAAAAACTGCATTAACTATTGCTTTCATTTCCTTGTACTTCCTGGATTTACAAGGAATACAAGATATGTCAGGCAGCAGAGGAGAGCATCTATATAGCATATCTGTTTCGCTTCGACTCATGTTAGGAGTGAGCAGCCAGGAACTCAGTGAAAAACATTAGAAGTACTGAACATTGAACATTATTTTTGATAGCATAAAATTAAAAATTTCAAATGGAGATATGAAGCTTTTGCATAGATATGAGAAACATGACAACACAGCTCTCACTAGAGCTTTATTTTGCTTTTTCTGTATGTATGCTTCTCAATCTATTCTCCCATGCTCAGCTGCACTAAAAACTTATTCTAGTCTGATGATGGAGTAAATCTCATGCCTAAAAAAAAGCAAAAATACACAGCTGTGAGCATGGGAAAAAACTACCTGCCAACTCAGTTGTAAAGGTACAGTCTTCCTCCCTCTGAAAAAATGTGAATTGGGTTATGATTACTTCATGTGGAATTTTATCCTATAAAGTCATGCTGCACTGCCACATTTCATCAGCTTCTTATCAGTCTTTATTGAGTATCTAATGACACTTCAAAATTGCATAGTGACCTTTCCTTGAAATTCAGTAAAATTAGGAAGTCTGACACTGTGGTTGTAGTCTCCCCCTTTTTAAACAGAAAGCCTAGTTCTGCAAAAGTTTCAGGCAAAAAGCTGCTATCTAAAGAAAGTTTTTGTAAAAAAAATAATACTGATTAACTGTTTGCTTTGTCTTTTGTTTTGTTTTGTATAAGCATCATTGTTTCAGCAACATATAGCACAAACAGATTTTAATTTGAAAGAAAAATCTGTTTCTGATACCTGATATTTAATATCTATGCCTAGATAATCTGAAAGGCAATTTGGATGTTGGATTAAAAGTTACAAGATTTTAAGAAAATAGTGATGTGTTTATGGTAAGTTGAGATACTGATGTTTACAGGCTTGGGTCTGAAGAAAACCCAAATATGTGACAGTGAATATCTATAGCCCCTGGACTTACGAAGCCCACAAGTGTAATTTGACAGTATGCAGCTCAGAAACCTGCATGATGCAGATTAAGCAGGGATTCAGCACGTCAGCACTTACTGGTGTAAATTTGTCGGCACAAGGAAGCTCTGAGCAATGCCTAAAGCCAAACTTGTCAGTGTTTTTTTATTTCCAATAGCTACAGTAGAAGTTTGTAGATTGAGGAGGGCTTCCCAAGCTGCTGCTCTTTCCAAAAATCACTGGAAAAAAAATTACTCACAGTGCTAGAATGTGTATTGAGTCATTTGGTTGCACTGTTAGAACCTAGGCTCAGACTATAGACAGTGTGCTTTCTCAAGGTGGTGACAAGCTTCACAGAGCCCACAGATCCTATATCAAGACATTATTCTTCTCATAGTTTTCCTGCCTTGTCCTGTCTAGAACTACTTGATCAGTTTGGGAAAATTTTAGATGTTTTAGATGTTGGTAAGCTCCAGAAAAACTGTTACTTTTAATATATAAAGTGGACTTTGTGTGAAAGCCATGTGGATTTTTAAGAGCATTAGATTTTATCCTCACTCTATTCTCACTTATGTCACAGTGACACCAGGGACAAAAGTCAAGCAACTGACAAGTATCTTTTATTACACCGTTTTAACTATTTACATATATATATGTGGTTAGTAACTACTAGTCATAATTGTGCAAGATTGTATATAAATACAAATAATGTGCTGGATATCATGTAGCACAACTGCATATAAAAGCATGCATGGGCCTTGGAGAGTAATACCTATCCTTCAGTGAGGTACCACCTGGTAATAGTTACAAACAGGTTTCTTAGCCACAGGCAAACACAAGATAAACTAAAGGCTAATTTTACAAAGCTCAGAAAAACTTGAGCACAGATAGAGATGTTTAAAAGGATTCCAGACCTCACCAATGCACTGCACGATGGCACTAATACTTACCCTTCTCTACTGTAAACAGTTTACTGGATACATCCTTGCTTTGCCTGTCCTTTTCACAGATTTGTCCTATTGTAACACCCTACCTGATCCAGATTATTCTCCTTTCTTGTGATTTCCAACCCCCGAGGAAGCCCCAACTTTTGGAAAAAAATTACTGTCATTAGTCACTAAATAAAAGATTTGGCACTTTTCATTACTAAATATAATCCAGTTCTGAGCCCTGAGTCCTTTAGATCATCCAAGTTTTTCTTTGCATTGATAGCACTTCCCAAATTTTGTCATCAGCAGGTCTTATTATTTCAGCATTGTGGTTTAATTTGGCAGGCAACTAAGTACCACACAGTCATTTGCTCACCCCACACCCCCCCTCTTCCCTTGGGATGAGCTGCCCAGAGAGGTTGTGGAGTGTCCTCTGGAGATATTCAAAACACATCTAAAAGCTTTCCTGTGTGACCTGCTGTAGGGAACCTGCTTCAGCTTCAGGATTGGGCTAGATGAGCTCCAGAGCTCACTTCCAACCACTAGGACTCTATGATTCTGTGAAATACAGTTAAACCAAGAACACAGTTAAGCCTACAAACATGCCAGTCTATATCCTGGAAAGCAATGACTAAAAAGCATACAAGAATCCTAGTAGATTAGCAGCTAAAGATAAACTCTGTTACATTGCTATCACAGTGCCATACGCAGTACTGTTGAGAGTAATCCAAGGAGACTGCATCAAGGTCTGCAAGTTATACCTAGAGAAAGGTGAAAATTCAGCAGTATAGAAAATAGCACAGGATAATTTGAGGGTTGAAAGCCTTTCAGTGAGAGACAAAATATGTCTATCTGGTTTTCTCAAAAAAAAACCAAAACACAAAGCTATGATCTGATTACAGAATATAAGTGCATTTGCAGGGAGAAAACACCAGGTGCTATAGGCTATTTCATCTCAGAGGAAAGCAAAGCAGGAACCAGTGTCTTGAAGTTGAATCCACACAAATTAATGAGAAAGTTGTGACACAAAATTTCAGTGATGAGTGTGTAAACATTGAATTTTCCTTTTACTGCCAAAAAATCTTCAGTTAATGATTGGATCCATTTCTTAAAGATTTGCTTTAGAAATGCAGTTTGAAATGCAATGATCTGTTTTGAACAACTAAGTGATCTAGCAAATTTGACCTTAAATTTATGCACTGCACACAAACTACAGTATAATCACTCTATTATCCATCAGACATTCTCACTATTTCTAGACTTTACCAAAAGAGTTGATATAAATATTTTTTCTATTTAAAAATACTGTTAGTGTCACTTTAATCTTTCTCCAGCAGTAAAATAAATCCTCTAATATCAGCAGTATAACTGTGCAGACATCTAAAGAAGAGTGAAATGATCACTAACACATTTTTGAAATGTAATAATTACATATAAATTGCTTTTTCACACATTATACAAGTGCAAGGTCTGATATTTCAGAAATGCCGTGATTGATAGCAAGGACTTTACACATCCTATTTCCTTTCCAATAATATGCCCTACCAGTGGTATACAGCTCCCACTTCAACACTGATGGATCACAGAACATTGGATCTTCGTCCTGTCACTGGTACATTACAGAATATTGCCTGCCCTGGTCTTCAGGCCATATTGACTGAAGTTAGCATTTCTGGTAGAAGCAGAACGATTGAAACATTTCTTTAGGAAGATGTTCTTTCCCTGCTTTTCAAAAAAGGGCATTTTGAAACTAATCAGTAGATTAGAATGTTAAAAGAAATCCCACCAAAACATGTATGGATAAAATGGAGTAGCAGGAACATGTATCATATGGAATTCAATCTTACAATCACATCATCATCTCTGCGATATGCCAGACTCAAGAAAGTATGTGTTTAGACCTTAAAGTCAATGGAAAAAACTGAACTGCAAGTACAGAACCATTAACTATAGCAATATTTATTATATAGTGTAAAAAATGATATAGTGATTTATGCCTGATGTGGGCAGATATTCATATAATATGTTTAGAAAAAAAGCAACAGATTGTGACAGTTCTAGTTTGAGAACAAAAAATTACATGAATTTAAACATAAGACTGCAAACAATGACTGTTCCTCAATACAAAGACAATTTTTAATTGAGAAGGAAGTAGATTCTTTTGGAAAGACACCATAAGTTTATTAAAGTACTTACTTAAATAGTGCTAAAACAAAACAGTGGAAACATTGGTGGCGTTAAGAAATAGCTCAGGGTTGTTTTTTCCAAGGACTAAAAAATGGCTAAACTATATTCCATTCCAAACATATATTTCCAATTGTGTCCTACAAATGAGAATAAAACAAACATTAATATTTTCATTCTTATCCTCTGTCCAGCCACATCATATTGAATCACAGCAGTGTAGAGGAATCCCTGCATCTCACCAAGGAACCTAAATGCAGTTACTTCCTAAGGACTATACAAACAACCAGCATTCAGGCACACAGGTTTGTATGAGAAACAAGGACGAAGAAGGGGCCACTGCTGCAGAGTTCATGTCCAGAAATTTAAATATCCAAACCCACTCTCCCTTTTCAATCTCTTTTTTTCCCTTTTTTTTCAGTGAAAGAAAAGGAAACAAGGCTCTCACCCTTTTCTGAGAGCTCTGGTAATAATTCCACTATGGATAAAATGAGAACTCTTCCTAGTGAAATCATTTAGTCACAAAGACTAAGGGAAATAAGGGGTTATATGATATCACAGATACTTGTCAAGAATGAATTACAGGGAAAAAAAAATTGCAAGGAGCAACAGAATGTGGATTTGAGCAATAGTTCTTGGTTTTATCAATTAATTCAACAATACCAGACGCTGGGGGGAAAATGTGTCTTTTCATTTGGCTTCTCAGATGCTGATCAATTCTTAATTATCTTTAACTGTATTGACCTACTCCCAGTGTTTGTGCCATATGCACTAATGAATGACATTCTAAAGAGCACAAGAAAGCAAGGGATTCATTTATTATTCACTTCATATAAATATATACTGTTACCCCTCTTTTTACCTATGAGGTTTGCCAAACTTTGGGACTGGCAAACCGTTTGTTTGAAGAGATGCTGATAAGGAAATAAGGAGTTTCTTTGATGCAGTCCTGTTTATTTACATCAAACTTTCAGAAAATATAAAATCCTTTAGTTATGGTAGCTCTTTGGTAGTTCCTCTCTTTTTTCCTTTCAGATTTCTGCTTTAACAATACAATAGCCAGAAAAACCTCAATAGCCTTTCATCTGCTTTTCTTTCATACTCAGAAATACTTACCCGCATTTGGGACTAAGCCTGCAGTTTTGTTCATTGAAGAGCCTTAACTGCTGTTTTTCCCCCACGGTGGTTGTGATTCTCTCTCTTGATGCAGAAAACAGTATCTGGTGGAGGAGGTGAAAGCATTGAGAGGTCTAAGCACAAAACATGAGAGGGAAAGTTCTGTTATGCAAGCAAATAGACGACGTCACTGTATATAAACAGAGAGAAAACACAGGAAGCAAAGAAAATATACTTGAAGAGATGAAACAGAAAAAGGAGATTCATTAGAGCACTTATCCCTGTTCACAATGCATTTTCTCCCATGGTGTTCATTGCTGTGTGCAAAAAGTTCGTGGAAGATAATTCCTCTTTATACTGGAAAAATTTAGAAATGAAATTTTTTAAAAAGATAATTTTTTTCCAATGCTGAGAAAAAAAGGGAAAGGATAATCTGAATTTGTACTTTGTTCAGCTGAAGATAGATATGCTTTTCTGTTTTCTGCTCTCATTTTCCTAAACTAACCTAATTTCTCTTGATAAGAGATTAAGTGATTCATTCTAGCTTCTGCCAAATATCATGGCAGCCAAAAATCTGTCAGAGCTGATCTTTTCCATGCTCTGCTATTCCTATGAGAGCAACTGGGACAGGTGCTTGGAGAAGGCTTTTCTGACTTTATGGAAGGGAAAGCTGAGGTCCTTAGGTCATGTTTTTTTTCTGCAACTTAATGGTTTCATACCAAACAGGAATCTGGCTTCAGAATTGTGATGGATGAGTTCTTTGTCTGATTCGTTGATCTGGATGGAGCAAGATAAGTGAGAACTGGTCTAGCATTTCAAACTAAAGTCTGTCAAACAAAAAAGCCTTTTTTCTATTGATGTAAATAAGAAAGAAGGTTACATGGAGTAACATCAAATGCACAGACAACTCAACAAGGTACCTACAAGTGTTAACAGAATGAAAACAAATCATATTTTCAGAAGCAAAAAAACAATCAAACAAAAAACCTGCCTGATCATTTGGAGTCTGCTTTGATATACGACATGTGATTTGAGTGCTTGGGTGCTTAAACTATGTGCATACCCTTTCCTGGATTCTACTCTAAGAGTAAAGTAACTCTAGTTCTCCTGGGCAAATACAAATGCGATAATAGCTTTCAAAGACTGCCATATAATAACAACGTGCCAGAAGACAAGTCACAAACTGAACTGAAATAGCATTTGTAGTGTCTTGACAAAATCAAGAGCTGTTCCAAGTACTTTTCACAATCTAGGAGTTTAATCCTGAACTGTATATGTTTTCATAATTTAGTGCTTTGAAAAGGATAAATTGCTCATCATCGATCATCTCATTCACAACTTTGGAATGTTCCAAGGATAAATGCAACTTTGTGTGTGGCAAGAAGAACAGTGATAGCACAGTTTACAGTTTCATCTCTGAAACAGAAATTCCATTTCCTACTATGGATTTCCAATGTTTTAAGTATCTTTAAACATTCTGTACAATAGAATTAATCTCTTTGCAGGCATATGTCTGCTTATGTAAGTGTCACTGCATCAAGGCCGATATGCTTGCTTTACCACATGGGAGAAAGAATGTGTTATTTTAATTTTCTCTTTATTGCTTTCATCTAAAAAACATTTTCCCTTTCTGGTCCATAGCTACATACATAACTAGGGTTAATGTAACCTGAAGAGGACATGAAGGCTGGGGGAAAGTAAGGATGTATCCACAAGAAAACACAGTGGCAGAGGTTCTTGCACTTCACCACTAAATGCAGAGTGAGTGGTAGCTTGTATCAAGTGCCTGCGCACAGATGGATGCAGTGTAGAACGTGATCAAGCAGAATTAGAAGTTCCTGTATATCTGCAGAGAAGTGATCTCACTGGGATACAAAAATGTGGTGGGATGGCTCATGTGACTCAAGCATTATGATGGCTTTCCACACAGATTTTTTTCATTCACCCACACTTTTCAGGAAAGTCTGACCGAAAACGCAAAGAGGAACAGTTGAGCTCCGTGTAAAAGAGTGGTTCAAATACACAGAGCTGTGCCCTGAAAAGAGTCATTAACAAGTCAGCTGGAGAAGGATGGCATCCATGGGAAGGGCCCCACATGGAGCAGGTGCAAAGAGTGACCATGAAGGAGCATCAAAGATGAATCATTATGGACTGACTGCAGCCTCCCATTCTCCTATACAGCCTCAGGGGATGAAGTATAAGAGATGGGTGGGTGGAAGGTGGCTTTAGTTTGCTCTTGGTTCTCTCTGCTCTGGTCTGTTAGTAATAAACAATAAATTATATTAACCTCCCTATCCAAACTCTCTTTCACTCATGGCAGTTAATTGGTGAGTGATCTCCCCATGCTTATATCACTCCTTGAGCCCTTTTTCACATTATATTCTCTTTTCTTTTGAGAGAGAGTGAGCAAATAGTGTGGTGGAGTCCAGCTGCCTGTCAGGATGAAACCACCTGGCACTTGAGGGGTTTTGAATCACTTCGATACATCTGGGTGAAAGCAATCCAGCAGGTTTCTGGACTGTTGGCAATTTTCTGGTACAGGGGATCAACAAACTGACTAGGTAAATGCTCTAATGGACCTTTTACTGACACTGAAGTAGGAACTGGTATGAAGGTCAAGGGCAGCCTTGGCTGCAGTGAACTGGATATCATAGCACTGAAATTCCTGAGAAAAATGAGCACAACAAACAGAAAACCCCAGGCCTGAGAAGATCAAACTTCAGTTTGGCCACAAATCTGCATGGCACAGGAGACAGTTTCAAACAAAAAGGTAAAACTTGGGAAAGCAGCTATATACCTGTAGAAAAATATGGCAAAGGTATTGTACACAGAAGGAGAGGTTTTCTTAACTCTTAATTTTGAACTTCAGGAGATCATAAAATCAGAGACTTTTTCTATCTTCATTTCTCTCTCTTTGACCATTGGTTGGAATCCCAATCAAATGAGTAAAAAAATAATAATTTTATGTATTTAAATATTAACACTGACTTTACAAAAGTAGTCCTTTTCCTTACTTTTATTTACTGATTTATCATTTAATTTTTCTAGGAAACATTTGGGCTCTTTTCTAAGATACTTAAGGCAAATAATATATATTTTAAATTTGCTTGGATACAAGTACAAAATCAAATCTTTTGTAAATCAGAACTGATAGCAGAAAAAATAATTTTCTGCTATAGTGCAAATAAGTCAAATGTTTAATTAAACTTGTTTACACAACACTATATATGCAACCTAACCACATCACATTACTACTCTAAAATATTTTATATCACTCTCAAGGTCTTTTAGACAAGAGTTCAAAGATAATTTTTTGCTTACTAGGGATATTTTTTTCCTATTTATGTGCCTTGAATATGTACAAAGTTAACTTTGAAAGAGGTGATGCACTCCCTCTGTGCTTTCCATATTGGGAGAAGTATTTTGGATATGTATGTTTTATCTTTATTTAAAAGGATTTCGCAAATAAATTGTCTCACACTTTTCTTCATGATCAAACGAGAAAAGACCTTGGCAAGCCAGGATCAAAAGAAATTTAAAAATAATCCCATAATAATTTGTTTTAGCAAAAACAAATATATGAAGAAGTCAAATAAGACTGAACAGACAGACGGCAAATAAAAGTCATAAATAAATAACAACAAATTTCTGACTGTGCATAAGATGTTTCATATAATACAAAGAACCTACTGAGAAAATCAGCTGCAAATATTGCTTTTATTCTTTTTATGTAAAACAAAGCTTTCTGCTTATGACTGAACAGTTCTTCAGTAAAGATATGTTATTTCTTGGGCTTTGCATGGACATTTTTGCCTTGTTATAGCTAATATGCTGGATAGGAATGTCCTTGGATTCAAAAATTAAAAGGCAAACAATAGATGCTGAGATGCCAGCTTTCTTAGTGCAACATTTTTCATATGAGTGATGCTCCAAAAGTAACGCTCCCTATTTTATTATGTTGGTCTTCCACATCAGAGGCAGATGCTGGTGGTGTGATAGTAGAGGTTGAACCTTCCCACCAACATTATGTTAAATTTTGTTGCCATGTGACAAATGGCAGCAGAAGGGCACTCTGCCAAGTTGGTGCCTGAAAAGGGGTGGAATTGAATTCCTCCACTGACATTCATCAACACTTACTGAACACTTCTGGAGACCAAACACTGGATGTGAGCACAGTGAGGCAATAGGTGGTGCATTCTAGCAGTAGTGACAGCGACAGTGGGTCACCTCCGCTGGTGTAGATAGTTAGAAGTACAGCATGCAGGCTCTTGTTCATCTCTCACAAAACTGAACAGCTAATGGAGGTGACTATCTTGAAAAATAGTGTTTAGTATCTGAGAATTTGCTTTATCAAATAGTGCTCCTGTGCACTTTGTATCTGTTATAGTTTCCATAGAAATAAATAGCAGACGTTACTTTCGGAATGATCTATGTCAAAAAACAGAGAAATAAAAATATTGATAAGTATTTAAGTTCAGCAATTGATTCAATATGTTTCAAAGGCTGTGCCCTTGTCCTTAGAAAGTGTGATAGCACAGTCATATTAGAACATCAAGCCTGCAAAGATTTAGGGATACTTTGTTTAGTGACTAATAGTACTGATTACCATGGAATTATCAGGATATAAAAGCTTATTTTGCTCATTATGCATGCTCTTAGGGAATGACAATGCTGTAAACATTCAGTAAACTCATCACTGTAGTAGATCAATAATTAAGTCAATCCACTTGAGGTGAAAAACTCATTGCCAGCTTTAACTTTCCATTTTAAAAAATCTCTGATATACTCAAGACAATCACTATAACATTGCACAGAATTCAATCAACATCAAATAGGGGAAGAGTGACTTTTGTAGCAGATGAATTTTAAAGCTTTGTGAGAAAGATCTCTGTGGATTCTTTTGAAAATCAAAAGAGAGAAGAAAGTTCTCCAAGCAAAAAAAATGAGCAATTTAATTAGGGTCCAGCTCTGAAACAGGAGCCGTTCAATTAGCTATAAAGAAAGCCTAGGGAAAGATACGTTTTATGGACAATCTCCTCTGTCAGTATAAAATTGGAATCCTGGCTGCTGGAATAGTTATTAAGGCTTAAGGAGCAAAATCTTAAATCAATTACCATTTGGCCTTAAATAGAGAGAAAAAGGAAAACGAAATGGATTAAAGTACACAGTAAATAGTTACTAACAACTTCTAATCCTAAACTTCAAAATAATGAGTCAGGAATGCATTTCAATGGATGTCCAAAATGATTTACAGTTTCATCATGCTTCTCCAATATTAATATTATCACAGATCCCCAAGGCTGATGTCAGACTTTTCAACAGATACTGTTCATACGCCTTCTGCAGTTTAAAGTCTAGGACAACAAGTAACATCAGAGAAGATAGAAGCTTAAGATCATATACACATATGCTACATGTGTGCCATATTATTTACCCATATCTGACAATTTCTGGCATTTTTTAGATAAGACTGGTGTGACAACTTGTTATTTAGGAAGCCAAACATCTCCCATTACAGTGTGCTGCATTTAGCTGCGTATAATCTTGGGGGGGAAAAAAAAAAAAAAAGCACATTAGTTTCAATTGAAATTCTTTGTTATTCCATGGCAAAACTTCAGGTAAACCTTTGTCAGGCTGATTACACACCTCCCCCTCTCCCCACCCCACCATGAGGATAACTATACAGTAATTTATATTATAACTCAAATGAAAGGTACTATGAAGGCTATTTTTTCTTTAAAAATTTAGTACTCAAGTGCTTTCACTTAAGGCTTCCAAGACATGCCTTATCTAACTTCATGCAACTATATCTAAAAGTATCCAGGCTGAAAAACTCAGTGTTGCCATTTTACACATGCTCTGTAGAAACTTCTGAACTCAACAGCTTTGGCCTGGAGTTGATGCTTGCTTTGTTTGGCGACCCTGTTTCAGATGGTGCAGAGTAATGCTTCCTATGCAGCTACTAGTTTGGATGCCAGTGGACTGCAAGTAATTCAACAGCAAAATTATCTGTACATAGAGAGTGCTGTCCTCTGTGCCTGCTGAAAAACTGCAGACATTCAAAACAGGAAAGAAGCTGAGCCTAATTGGGTTGGCAAAGACATGGCAAGATAGAGAGAGAAAAGAGCCAGGGGACGCAAGCAAGTGCAAAGAAAGGATGAGAGGGGATGAGAGCACAACTAGCTGGCAAGGGTTTGGGGTTGTGATTGGGTATATGGAACGGGAAAGGACATGTGCAAAGCAATGGGACACATGCCAGGATGAGCTAGTGTGCTGGAGGGAGCTGCTGTAAGGCAAAGAAACTGGAGAAAAGATAGAGAATGACTGGACAGGAAGGGATGGGTAGAGATTGTAGCCAATATCTGCACTGAGGGGAGCTGTTGGATAATGCCCTGCTGTATCCTGCAAGGATGGAAAAGGGAGAGGAGAATTTCTGGACAAAGCCCATTTGTCCAAAACATTTGTCCTAAACAGTCTCCTGGTTATGCAGTAAATTACTTAATGAAGGATTGACAGATAATGCAGTCACATGGACAGGGAAGCAATTGCTGTTATTTACATGTTAATTTCAAAGCTCTTTCATAATCTCTCAGATTCTCAACTTGTAAGAAGATGCTGGAAAGGAACTCCTGTGACCTTAGCAGCATCTGAAAAATTCTGTATGTGTCTTCTGCTTTGAGTAAAATTATACAGAACTACACTTATCCTTCAGAAAATAACACACTTCTCAAGCACAGGTAGCAATACCGTAGCAATTTCTCATTTTCCTATTGTGTACAGGAGCTGTATTTATCTTTCCATATGATAAATACCAAATTTTACAGACCTCTGCACTAATGTGCAATGACGTAATAATGCAATAATGTACAGTGCCAGAAGTAAAAGTGTCAATGCTGCTTCATATTACCAGACTAACAGATAAACTGTTAGACACTTCAAAGTATTTTCAGCAACTTTAAATTTTATTTTTGATATGTAAACATGTGGTAAAACATGACAAAGATAAGGCAGCTTTCAGTGCTATAAATTTTACACAGACCAAATTATTTTCTGTCTTAGTTTCAGCTGGGATTGAATTGCTTTCTTCAGAGTGTATGGAATGATGCTATGTGTTGGTTCAAGGAAGAAGAAACAATGTTGATAACACACCAATGTTTATAGTTGCTGCTATGCAGGACTGTACGGAGCCAGGGCTATTCTCAGTGAAGAGCCAAGAAACTGGGAGGGGATGGAATTAGGAAACTGCCCAAAGGGATATTCCATACTATTTAAAATACCATTATGCAGAGGAGTTTTGAAGGGGGTAGGAATTCATTACTCTCTCTTCTGCTGCTCAGGAGGCTAGCTTGGCATCATTCAAGGGGTGCAGAGCAATTGCATGTGCATCACTTGTTATATACTTTTATACATACGTATATATTTGTCATAATTATTATCTTTTTCCTTTTCTTTGTCTCACTTTTATCTCAACCCATGAGTTCTATTTATATATTTTTTCTGATTCTCTGTCCCATTCCTCTGATAAGGTGCTTAGCTACCTGCTGGGTTAAAGCACAACATTTTCACATACATGTGAGTGAGAGGAATAAAAGACAATATATCTCACAGGTCAAACACATTGCCATGAAATACCCATACAGACACAGTAACTTTTATATATTTGTTCAAAACGTTTCAGCTTTCTGACAGAACAGTTGAGAAACAAATTCTAAATTCCTCTTTAAGATTTCCTTTCTAAACTTCCAAAAGAATTTTCCATTTTCTAAGTAAGAAAAGGTTTTTTGAGCATCACCAATACATCACCAATATCATGAAACACTGTCACTGTCTACTCCATTGCATCAGTGTGTTTAAATACAACTGCTTAGGCTCAGCATGCCCATTAATGTTGTTGTGCAATATCACACCTAGCAAAATCTGAGAAAGTGAGCACAACCCCGAGCACTGCAAGAGGTGACAACACATAATCATGTTTCATGTAATGTATGATCTTGAGCACATAGTGAATGATCAGAAAAGAGAAAAATCTATTCACTCGTCTTAAAATAGTCTTGCATTTTAGGAGTTACTTGTACTTACAGAATTTTACATTGCAATTGTGATTGTAAAGCTAATGGTGTAGTACTGAATTCTCTGTTATGCTTAAAGACTTTTTTTAGCTTTGGTCTCCATTCAGATATTGTTCCTGTTGCAAGTTTGTTTTTTTTTTCCAGTTTGTATCTGGCACTGCATTTTTAAAAAGTCACATTGGTTAATTTTCTAAAACCTCTTAGAGTAAATTCTTACGAAATGTCTTCAATGAATTTTTAAAAGGCATGCTACTTCAGTTACGATACATATATGTGGGGATAATTACCATGCTAAGCATCCAATTTACGATATGAGATGGCTATAAAGTTTTGCAAAGCAATTGTTCTATCTTTGCTAAATTATAACCTTAATTGTAACTCAGAAATGTTTCTAGGCATCTGTAGCAAACATTATGAACAGGATGGTTCAGAATGCACATTTTTTTCTTTCTTATGTAGTTTACCTGTCTTGCAGCTCTTACAAATTTCAAAGCAGATGAGCACCATCTAGTTGTTTCTACACCAAAGCTGCTGCCCTTTTACTTAACTGGATCTACTGCTTTTGATAATATTCGTTTTGGGGATTATAAATAAAGAGAAGATGTTAAAGACTGTATATTTGTATATTTTAAGGCATGAACCCCCTTTGTATTAATATCTCTTTCTATATGAATACAAGAAGATATTCAAGCAAGGAAGAACTCAGTCTATCAGAATTTGTTTGGTTCTATTGCTTGTGTGGCAAGCAGGATTTGATGGCTAGTCAGAGCCTCATGAATCTGTAGGTATGACCTCAGGAATTCCTTTTACTGTTCTTAGTGATGTGAGTGAGAGCTGCTGGCACATTCTGCCTCTGTCAGATTCCTCAGAAAAGAGGAAAGTAGCAGAGGAGTAAGATACAGATTGCTAATGTGGGATAAATCTCCATTATGGCTTGTGAAGATTTTTCTTGTTGTGGGTCAACACAATCAGGATTTTTAGAGTTGATGTTAGCAGCACTCTCTTATTGAATGCTGCATAGGTGCAGACTGCAGAGAAATGCAGAGTCAGGATCTTTGCTGTAATCAGTTCAACTGCAAACTAATACTGCAGATTATCCATACAAAATTAAGAATAATAATTTTACCGCTGAATTCTACAGTTTGCTCCATCTTCTGTGACAAGCCCTGTGGTTACTCCAGCTCCTGCAATGAACAAGCCCTGCAGCTGCTCCAACCCTCACAGCAGCCCCTGTGGCTGCTCCAACTCCTATGATGAGTCCTGCAGTTGCTCTGACCTTTTTGACAGACGCTGCAATTACTCTAGCCCTTCTGATGGGCTCTGCAGGTGCCGTGATCCTCATAACAACTCGTGTGGTCACTCCAATCCCTGTTACAAGCCCCACACTGGGCACCAAAATGACTGTTGTAGTTTAACCCAACAGATGGCTTAGCACCACACAGTCATTCACTCATTCCTCAACTGCCAAGTGGGGTGAGGGAGAGAACTGAAAAAACAAAAAACAAACAACAAAGTAGAGTTTATGGGTTGAGATAAAACTATTTACTAAGAAAAAGAAAAGGAAAGGGATAATAATTATGACAAATTTATACATATAAATGTATATAACAAGTGATGCACATGCAATTGCTCACCATCCCTTTACTGATGCCTAGCTAGCCTTCTGAGCAGCAGAAGAGAGTAATGAACTCCTACCCCCCTTCAAAACTCCTCTGCGTAACGGTATTCCATATCATATGTTATATCCCTTTGGGCAGTTTAAGTCAGCTGTCCTAATTCCATCCCCTCCCAGTTTCCTGGCCTGGCTCTGTACAGTCCTGCATAGCAGCAACTATAAACACTGGTGTGTAATCAACATTGTTTTTTCCTCTAGAACCAAAGCATAGCATCATTCCATACACTCTGAAGAAAACAATTCCATCCCAGCTGAAACTAAGACAGACTATATAGCTCTGCCTATAAAAGAATCTGGCAGGAGAACAAAGAAGGTCACTGCATCATTTTTATGAAAATTGAAAATTATCTTTTATGAATTATATTTATTTTTATATTTATATTTATGAAAAGTGAAAATTATCTTCATTCTGAAAGATTTCCTAAGGCTGCATATCAGAAGGCACCTGGAGACCTACATTATATACTGGACATTAATTTAAGAAATTCAAAAAGGCTGTAATATACAGAATAAAAACTATCTCTTTGCAGGCATATTTCTTTGCCCTTGGCTGCTAAAATAAAATAAAATAAAATAAAATAAAATAAAATAATCCAAGTTTCAAATTAAACAGGCTCGATCATTGGACTGGAATGAATAAAATCAGTTATGTATTGACTTTTTCTCAGAGACAACAGAATGCAAGAAAACCAGTGTGGAGAAATATTCACAAACCTATGGACTTAATGATGAAGTTGCGATGGGAAAACAAGGAAAAGCACAAAGCCCATCACTATATGTTTTCTTATTAAAGTAGAGCCTTTAAGTATTATTGGTTGA